AGGCTGGGGTGCAGGCGGCTGACATCAACCCGTTTTCATGGGTCCGTGCGTGCGCCGCTGCTTCAAGGTGCCAGCCCGCTCCTGAGGGACGAACGGTCGAGATGCTGCAGGCTTTGGTGTGATCGTTGTGTACAGTCTGTGTAACGCACCGCGGGAGGACGAAAGCACTGCGCCCCCAGTGAGGCCTTTGCCCTTTCGAAGTGTAGTCTGAGGTACTTTTCTCCTTTCTTGTGTAAAAACACAAACTTCTCTGCCCCTAGTTCTTTCATTACACCACAAAATGATATTTTTGTGGAAGATACTCCTCTTTTCCTCCTCTTTTCCTCCTCTTTCTTTTCCCTGCCCTCAAAAGGAAACTTCAGCTGGAGACCAGACCGGAACAGCCAGGTCTGCGCTGGCTTTCAGTGAATCGGACGGGCGCTTCCAGCTCTGCTTCTTTCATCGGTTGTACCCCACGTCGGTGAAAAGCAAAGGGGTTTTGGCAAGTTGCTCTTTGGGAAGAGGACAAACAAATGGGAGTTGCGTCAGCAGATTTTTGCTCCAGGATGCACAGTCACTATTAATAAGTTCTTAATAGGCAGCTGTGTGCAGCGCAGCACAGTCTGACTCAGCAAGTGAAAGAATCCCACAAAAGGAGGACAACAGGATGTTCTTAAGGTGGAAGCAAACTGATCTGTATGAACAAGGGACAGAATTAAGACTTGCTTCCTTCTCAGTGCTTCGCACTGCGAATAATTATAAAGCAATAAAATTGATCAATTTTTTTATGCATGTGAGGCAGATACAATATTTGGTCTTGTGGTTTAGTATCCATCTTCCTTAATGTACCCTATTGATTTATAGGTGTTTGAACAAAAACTGGTTTTGATAATTTAACCAAGGTGCCCAGAAAGGGAAACAAATTCATTCGTAAATAACTGGATCACAATATAGTTGTCCATCTTTTTGTACAACATATGCATATTGTTACCTTTGATTTTTAGATGGGGTTTCATATCACATTTCTGTATCTTCTTGGGATTGTGTTTCATTTTGGTGTGTTTTTTCCCCCCAATGAAGTTGGGGCTATAATCCAAAACACAGGCTTTTTACATGATTTCACTTGCTGGTTTGTTCTTATGCTAAATTGTATAGTCATGGCACAGAATAGTGTGCAAGAAAATGATTAGGGGACTACACACAAATTTATGTTTTAAAAGCTTTTGAGTAAAAATTAGTAACCTTCAAGTTACTTCTCATGATGTTA